CCGGCGGTGAATGGATGACGACAGAGGTCCCCGGCGCGGGATGGATGACGACAGAGGTCCCCGGCGCGGGATGGATGACGACAGGATGTCAAGGCGTGACGATGACAGGGGACCGTGGCGTAGTGCGGACGATGACCGGCTCTCCAGGCGCGATGATGACAGGGGCCCGTGGCGTAGCAGTGATGATTCCAGGCCAGGCCCTTGGAGACCATTTGGTAAACCAGGTAAAATACAATCTAGTAATCGTGCCCCCAAAGCATGTGTTAATCTGGTAGATAATGGATGTAATGTACTTGGTGTCAGAGATGGGAGAGTCGACTCTGAAACATCTGGATTCATTCTGCTAGTGCAGACACCCCTTTGCTTAGTATAATTAAACCTTTTAGTTCGGTTGAATTTAAAAAAAAATAATTAAAAAAATGCAGCAGTGTCTGTTGCTTGCCTGGAAGATATCAGAAAGTTCCATAGTAATGCTGGCAATTTACCCATGTGCAAAACCAAAATGAGTCAAGTGCTGTAATGGGAGAGAAACTTTTTCACTAGATTAGCACACCTTGGTCTCTGGCCCTGCCCCTTTATGTGTCTGAAATTAAGCTCCTCCTTTTGATCTGTTGTTCAAGTGGGTCTGGTTTTGTTGAGCCTTTTTTGTGCGCACAAAGATATTCCTGTTTCTACCATTCATTTTCTCCGTTTGTGTCTACCTTTGTTTGAAAATCCTCCTTTGAGGATGACCTTGGGTCCCTTTTACCATATTCTTGCATAGTTTATTTCTAGTCTTAAGTCCTGTTGATGGTGTCTAGAACAACTGCTGATTTTTATCAGAACTGTTGATGATGTTTAAATATTAGATGGGATTTTGACTTCCTGGTTCATTTCATTCAGATTTATATATTCACGGGTGTCACATCAGCTTTTATAGACACTAGCTCTGTCATCCAAGAGTGTAGAAAAGTTAGGATAAATCTCAAAACTCACATTCCAATAGCTTTTGCTTTTTCCTATTTAAAGACGAAGCAGGCTGCATAATAAAGAATTCCCATTCATAAATAACAATATTGCAGGATGCACTGTATAAGTAGGTGATAAAAAATAGTCTTATTTTAAAGTAGAGTTTTAAAAAACAGTGAGTTCTTAAAAAAATTTGCTCGCCTAAAATATTGTGTGTAGATTTTCACAAAGGAATCTGCTGTCTGAGCTTTCCCCCTTTACTTCTTCCTGCACTTGTGTTGCACAACACCCTTGGAGTTTGTGGTTTCTGGCTGAAAACCTCGGGGGGTACTGAGCTCTGCCCCACTGTTGGGGGCAGTGCTGATGGATGAGGTGTATCTATTTCTGTCTTTATACTGAAGAGTTTCTACGGTGTTTTGTGCACGGCTCCCACTGCACAAGCACGCTTTTTACAGGCATATCTGGAGTTGGATCCTCAGGGATCAAAACTGGAAGAGCCAGTTTCTGCGAGGGAATTAAAGGGTTCTTTGTCTACAGAAGGATGTTACAAATTCCTTTGGCCTTGTTTTTTACTTGCAGGGGGATGGAGAGAACGAGAAAAGGCTCGTGAGGACAGCTGGGGGCCTCCTCGAGACTCCAGACCTCCAGGAGACCGTGAATGGGATAGAGACAAAGATCGTGATGAAAATGAAAAAGACCGGGAATTTGACAGAGAGAGAGATTTTGATCGAGATGATCGTTTCAGACGTCCCAGGTTTGGCTTCTCTGTTAAAATTTTTCTAGAGTGTTTCTGTTAAAAAAAAAAAAAAAAAGTACCCTGCAAATAAAGAAATAACGTGACATTGCCCAGTGAAAAGAACCCCAGTTGGTTTGGATGAAATTGAGCACTTCAAGGCAGTAAATGAACAGTGGCATTTGGGGGCCTTTTTGGTTTATTATTGTTAAGACAACCTCAACTGTTTACAAAAGGAATCCCAAAATGCTTTATTGCTTTTAAATTTAATTTTTTTTCATCCTGTTTTCAAGAGAATTTCATGTTAGGTTCCAGAAAAACGGAAAATGTTTTGGAAGTATGTCAGGATGTGAAATAGAGACCTGCTGGGCCTGAAAACATCTACTTTGTGATTCATTATTGCTTCTTTCCATATAAAAGGCAGAATCCTAACATTTAGTCTTATTCTGTGTTTTAAATGGCAAAAGGGATGATGCTGGTTGGAGAAGAGGACCAGCTGAGGAAACTTCCAGCTGGAGAGATTCAAGTCGTCGTGAAGAATGGGACAGAGGTGGTCGTGACATGAGAGATCGACGTCCTGATGACAGAGAGCCACCCCCCAGGAGAGGACCACCACCCAGATCTGACCGTGAAGAACGTACGTGTATTTTAGTATTCCTAAAGGCTTACATCTGGGAAAATGTGGGAATAAGTTATATTTTCAAGCACTTAAACTCCCTTGGCATAAGCAAAGTAGCAGAAAGAAGTTTTAGATTACTTGAGAATTCTTCCTTTTTTTCATTGCACTCTTATTGTAGCAGCATTTTGCATCTGCAGAAGAAGGATAACTTTTTAAGCGTGCAGTTTTCATAGTAGGATTATATTCAGGGTGAATGAAATTCTTGTGCTTAAATTAGCAAGATAGACGTCCCAGAAAGTAATTTCTGGGTCATTTCTTAAAACCATTAAAATGTGAGGGAAATATTTCCAAAAAAGGCCTTACGGCTTTCACGCTGTTAATGGTATTGATTCTGATGAATAACCTATTTTAATTACCTACATTAACCTGCTTTAATTATGTACCTTTATTAATCCTTTGCTGCATTACTAAAAATACAGTAACAGCAAATACATTTAGCCTGAGGCACACCCCGTCTTCTAGCTCTGCCGTTCTCCCATGCAGAGTCCCGTTTGGTCTCTGCCCCGCGCGCGGGCGCTCCCTGCACACAGGGCTTGTCAGGCAGCTGCTCCCGGAGAGCAGCCTGGAACAGGATCGTAGAATCGTTAAGGTTGGAAAAGACCTCAAAGATCATCAAGTCCAACCAACACCCCAACACCACCCTGACCACTGAACTATATCCTGAAGTGCCATGTCTGCACGTTGTTTGAACACCTCCAGGGATGGTGACTCCACCACTTCCCTGGGCAGCCTGTTCCAGTGCCTCACTGCTCTTTCAGAGAAGAATTTTTTCCTAATATCCAATCTAAACCTCCCCTAGTGCAATCTGAACCCATTTCCTCTCAACCTAAACACATCATACGGTGCTTCAGCTGGATGAAAGGCTGAGGAGTCTCAGGGTGGAGATTTTTTTCTATTTAGTTTTTTAATGGAGCAAGAAGTTTTGCTGTTTGACTGTCTGGTATGGTGGAAACAAACAATTTTTCCTGCAGTCAAGGATGGTGGATGCTTTTACCAGCGGAGTCACGGGATCCAGCACTGTGGATACCTCTGCTGGCAGTAGGCTGAAGAGCAGTGTCCTGTCCTTTGGGACAGTGAGCAGCTAAACATTCTCCACATAATTTTTCTGATTTCAGGGCTCGGTCATTTCTAAGGAGACACTTTTGTGCTTCATATTCTGATAATAACAAAAGAACATATTATTACATCGTAAAACTACATGCATCACTCAGACATTCTTCCTGCAGCTGCTGTGCTTTAAAGATGATGCTTGAATTGCTCAATCTGAAAATGGGTTTGAGTAGTTAAAAAATATAGTTGTACTGTGCCTTTGGCCGTCACCGTCATCACCCCATTACCTCCTGGCAAGACTGACAACCAGTAAATCAGACTGTTGGTGCTGGGCATGTTGTTTTAAGCTCTTGCAGGCTGCTGGTGGGACATGACAAAGGTGGTTTTGTTGTCTCTGTGTTTGTAGCGAGCTCGTGGCGTCGTGCCGATGATAGGAGAGAAGAACGCGGAGAAGAACGCGAACCAGTTCGTCGATCAGCTCCTGCTCCTGCTGCTCCTTCAGCTTCTGCTCCCCCGCCAGCATCAAAAGATCGGGAAAGAGATGGGGAGAAGGAGAAAGGTTCCTGGAAAACAGAAAAGGAGCGTGAGCCCGTTCGCCGTACTAAAAATGAGACAGATGAAGAAGGGTGGACCACTGTACGACGTTAAGTGAAAACCACGGAGTTTAACCAATGTTTTAGCTTTGATTTGATCGAATCCATGGATTGTATTTGTGCTTATAAACACTCTGAATTGGAATTCTTTAACAAATGTTTTGAGATAACATGAAAGCATGAGCTTGAATTACTTAATCGTGTAGATTGATCATGCACAAAACTCACAGCAGAAGGTTGGAAATTGAATGCCAGGTTTTGAAATTTCAAATGATGCTTCTTTCGTGGGCCATTTGTTGCTAAAATAAAAAGAAGCAAGCCCAACAGCTGTCTTGAGTAACGCTTCTATCTCGCACCAAAACAGGCTGACCTGTTTATTTTTAGACTTTCTTAATTTGAAATGGGGTATTATCAACACAGAACATGCATTTGAAAACACCTCTGTACACACAGTGGAATTATTGAAAAAACAGAGCTAAATAAATTCCTGTAATTAGCAAAAAAAAAGTTAAAACATAAAAGCCCTCTTTTACATAGGTGTCCTTGAGGGCAGGCGGTTTGAGAAATGTATTTTATCGCTATCTAAATTCAGTAAATGGTTTAAATTTGAATTAAATACAATAAATGGTATGAATATTAGCTACACAGAGATATTTTCTGTAGATTTACTTGAATACCTAATGCCTATGAGGCCATTCTGCCATCCTTGTTCCAGGACTGTATACTGCTGCAGTGTACAACCACAAAACGTCAAGCTTTTCCAATTTAAGTGTTTCGGCAAAGCACACGGCTATGTATTTTCTGTTGCCAATATCACAACCGCTTTTTCCATGATGGGATAATTCATGCCTTTCAAGGGTTTATAAATATTGTCATATTTAACATGTGTGGTTATGGAGAAACTGTTGAATTTTCCCCCAATTCTTTGTCTTCAGGGTCAATTCTTTCCCTTTCCAAAAAAAAGTGATTTGTAGTAATGGCTGTGTTGACTTCAATTTCGGGGTGCGGTAACAACGATTAACTAGCTGGTCGTACTGAAGCCAACACAGAACTTGCTGCTGTGTGTTTCTTCAACGATAAATAAACAACTTAAGGAATTAGCTGCTGCAGTGTCTTCACTTTTTAGTAACTTCCTGCACTGTCCATTGATGTAGAACAGCTGTTGAACAACTGTCCTTCAGCTGGTCCAGAAACAGGAAAATGGGAGAACATCTGGCGTAGTTTCTTCTTGAGAAACCTGGCTTGATTTTAAATCACTAAATGGGACTGGGTTTTAGCTCAAACCCAGGACAGGTGTGTGAACAAACGCTGTTATACTCCTCTTGTCCTCTTCCTGCTCTCTTCTGAGTTATCCAGGACCAACAGGTTTCTTCAGAAAAACTTACTCTCAGAGTAATTTTCTGAGGGCCAAGTTTTTGTGCTTTTGGAGCCCATCACGTCACTGCTTGCTGAGTCACAGAATCCCTGCAGAGCAGTAGTGCTTTCCAAGCAAAAAAAAAAAACCCAAACCCAATGTTTTCTTCCTTACATCTAGTCTAAATGTACCCTCTTTCAGTGTAAAAACATCACCCCTTGTCCTGTCACAACAAGCACTACTCACTGCCCCCATCTTAAAAGCTCCCTTTAAGTACTGGAAGGTCTCCCTGGAGCTTTCTCTTCTCTAGGCTGAGCGGCCCCAACCCTCTCAGCCCTCTGATCATTTTTGTGGCCCTCAAAAAGCTTAACCTGCTCTCTTCAGCTTCTGTCCACTTCGTCTTCCTCCTGCCCATGCGCTGCTGAGTCTATAGATTTTCCTGGAAAGGTGCTGGTGGGTGCTGGCTGGCTGCAATTCGGTCTCCCCAGTGCCTTCCCGTCTCCACGCTGGACAAGCCCGGTTCCCTCAGGCTTCTCCCCCAGGCACATGCTCCAGCCCCTTTGTGTCGAGCCTCTGCTGAACTTACCTAAATGTAGCAGCATCTTCCTTGTATGGGCACAGTGGGCCCCAAACCCACATGCAGTAGCCGAGACGAGGTCTGCTGGGTGCTGAGGGGTACATTCTCACCTCCCGGCTTTGGTCCTGTTCAGACACCCCCAGATCTGCTTGCTCACGTGCTGCTTTTCCTGTGCCAGGGCCCTAAAGGCATTTGAGCCACCCCCCACAGCCCACCCTTGCAGGGGCTTCTTCCTTCTTGTTGAATTCCATCAAGCTCAGCCTCTGTCCCTCTGGATGACAGCCCTGCCCAAGCATAGTGACAAAGCCCTCCCACCTTGGTGTCACCCCCAAACCTGCTGACAGCACCCTGCTGCCACCTCCAAGTCCTTGAGGAAGGTGTCACACCAGGTCCAGACCCTGGAATGCCCCCCTGGAGCCCAGCCCATTGACCATGGTGCTATGCCTAACATCTAATTTTCAAAATCCACTCTGTTCCTTATGCTGCAACATCCTAACTTGGCTGTGGGACTATTGTGTGGGACAGTGTCGAAAGCCTTACTGAACTTGAGATGAAAGTCATCCTTGTCCACAAAGTTATCTTCTTGTAGATGGGTCAGGCATGGTTTACCCCCCAGTAAATCCATGCTGACTGTTCCTCATCACCTTCTTCTGCATGTGCCCCAAAACACACTCTGGAATTACCTCCTCCACGATTTTTCCAGGCACTGAAACGATACCATCTGGCCCAAAGTTTCTCAGATATTCCTTTCGGTCTTTTTCGAAGATGGGTGCAACGTTTGCCCTTCTCCAGTTATCAGGGAGATGTAAATACAAGTGGTTATACCTCCAGTCAGTCACCTGTTTTTAATTTCATCCAGACAAAGCCATTTTTACACGGGGATGTTAGTGATCACTGCACCTGCTAAAGCTGTTCCCAAGTCGGTGTTCTTAACTTCCATTATTTGAGGTTGTGATAATGTTGCCAACACACGTAAAAATCTCAGGACGGGGCAGCTTGCAAAAAGATCTGCAAGATGTGAGCTTTCCAGACAGTGAAAAGTGTGTTTATTTTACTGCTTGATCATTTTAGACAGAATATGAACCACAGCAATCAGAACTGCTGCTGACCAAATCCAATATCCAAAACCTCCATCTACTGCCATAATTGTATGTTAGCACAAAGTCTGGTGACCTAAAAATGTTGGTGAAGTCAAATGAATTCTCTGTCGAGCATGGCTGTGTTTGATTGATTCAGGTTCAGTGAAACACCTGAAAGTTTCTGTGAACCTCAGAAGAACATGAGCTGCACCATGCTGTATTTAGATGGCAGAATTTAAGGCTGCTGCTAGTTAAATGGATGCAAATGTTGCTCAGTTAAAACCTCCAAGAGCAGAGCAAGGCAGGTGGGAACAGCTCCATTTCTTTTCCTACTCCAGAAGCAGCCCAGAGACTGGCCCCAGCCGGTGGTCAGGTCTGAGGACCATCAGAGTACTTAGCACAAGTTTCCTCTAGAGTGCCTTTGGTCTCAAAAAAAAAATTACAAGAAATAGGTATTTGATGAGAACCAGGAGACCATGGTGGTGAATGCAGGCTGTGTCACTCCAGCCCAGTCACAGCCACCACCTCACCTCAGGACACACCACGACCCTGGTTAGATGGGCCTCGATGCTGTCCTGAGCAGGATGAGCAGCACATCGGGGAGCTCCGGCACAGGACGGCTGGTGGCCAGCCAGGAGGCAATCTCAGGCAGCGGGAGAACTGCAACTCTTGTCTTGCTGTAAACAAAAAGTATCTTTGTTGTTTTACCATCCCTGTCAGGAGCTGCAAGTTTGTAAACAAATTTTCCTTCTGTAACTAAAAGGTATTGCTAAATTGTGTAAGACCACCAAGGGAAGGCGTTGGGTCAGAGAAATGCAAGATTCAAAATTTACCTGTAACGCAGCACCAGCAGCCTCCTGTGTGATTTACTGCAGAATTCCAAGACGCAGGCATGTGAGTGGTGTATCAAGAACACCTGATTCTTCCCATTTTGCAATGGCAGCACCAGCTGGAACTGAAATGTTCTATACTTTGTCCACTCATCCTCTTAAAAAAGAATTACTGTATTTAATTATGGTGAGATAGAGTCTACAAGCTATTCCACTGCTTTTTGCTAATCAAAACCCGTTGTGCTGCAAGTTAAGCTTTGTTAGTCCTTTCCCTCTTGGGCGGGAGGACAATCTTTCATTGCTTTACTACATATTTTTCCATATTTAGCGTGTCACTTCTATTTTGCCGAGACATCAAGCATATAAAAGTAATTATCTTCTTTCCCCTTTCACTATTAGCAAACTGTCTCCAGTATATTTTAACCTCTATACTTGGTGGCTCAAACTGCCACATCTATGGGAAGGAAAGCCATTTTATAGCCATCCAAAGAGGATTTTCACTGAAGATGGGTATAAACTTACCTGACTTCAGCTGGATGAAGTCATCCATGCATCTGAAAGTAGTTTTTAATTAGCTCGCTTTTTGCCAAGACTAGCATCAACCGTGGAGGATTTTAGGCTATCCAATACTGCATTCACTCCTCTTACCAGGATATCACTGTGGAAAAGATTCCATCATTTACATGCTTAGGAATATTTCCCTGTAATAAAGTGATTCTCTTGGTTTACACAAGTGGTCATAATATTTAGATTTGCAGATGCCTGTAGAATAAATTGAAATAGTATCCAGCTATTCTTAGACATCTTCTCTATAGCATGTAACAGCTCCAACCTGGGCTGCTTTCAGATTAAGCTATTTGCTGTTCCTATGATGTAAGTTACTAATGTAAATGTTTTCCACTATTTAAGGAATCAAAGTAACACTATAAGCACTATCTATTGTAATAAGGTTTTCAGAGTAACCAAGAACAAGTCTGCTTCTGCCTACTCAGCACCACAAGGAGTGTGCTGGTCCACAGGAAATCACAGCAGCTTACTTAAAAAAAACCCAAAAAACCCAAAACAACTCCCCCTCAAACCCAAACAAACAAAAAGCTCCAAACTAAAATGTCCTTAAAGGTTCAGTCTTTGTAAGACACTGCCTTGTAAAACTTTAAAGGGCAAGCTGTCCTGTTGAATGATCATGTAAAGCAGATTAAACTGAAGAGCCTTGCTCTCAGAATGCTTTCTGCTGATTCTGAATCTTGCCATCTCCCCTCTAGAATAGTTTTTTTTTTTCCCCCTTCTAACTGATCTTTTGAAGCTGTTACTCCACTGCCTTACCTGTTAAGACTTTGATCGGATGCCTCATCGCATGCGGGCAAGCTGTCCTGTTGAATGATCATGTAAAGCAGATTAAACTGAAGAGCCTTGCTCTCAGAATGCTTTCTGCTGATTCTGAATCTTGCCATCTCCCCTCTAGAATAGTTTTTTTTTTTCCCCCTTCTAACTGATCTTTTGAAGCTGTTACTCCACTGCCTTACCTGTTAAGACTTTGATCGGATGCCTCATCGCATGCAGCGGCTACGCCAGGCAGCTCCCGGCCTTTCCACAGCCAGGCTGCAAGTACGGGTGCAGGACAAGGGGAGAACCAGCAGCGACAGGCAGCAGCAGGGGCTGTTCATCCGA